TGCCGCCCGCGGCCGCGGCCTGTTTCCTGGCGGCAGCTGACCAAGAAGAACGCCCCGAGGTCGAGGACGTTCAGTTTGGCCCGCTAAGCTCATGCCATTTTCGCGCCCGCAGGCCCCCGAACCTCGCGCGATTGCGCGCTGCTACGCTTGCGGACAAGGTGCGCCATGCGAAGCCGGGATGGTAAGTCTTGCCCATCACGTCGTTGCCCATTGCCGCCGCTAGTCGCGCAGCGGGCCCGCGCGACAATGCCGAGGGCATTCCGATCGTTGCCCGCCAGATCCTGCGCCCCGCTGGGTTTTCGACGCCCAGAAGTCAGACGCAACGCGCAGGACGGCGAGGCTCCGCGCAGCTGGCCAGGCCGACGAGGCGGCAGCGCCAGGAAGCGCGTGGAATTTCAGCGCCGGGCGGATCGCGCGCGGGAGTTCACTGCAAACGCACCAGGCTCGCCAAAACGCACGCGTTGACGCGTGCCCCCATGAGGGGATCTAGATGCGAATATTCGGACAGGGCGAATTATCTTCGATGAGGATGCCTTTGCCACTTTTCAAGGAACAGCTCGCGTTGTTCGTCGGCGACCGATGTCTCCAGTGGCGACCCCTTCGGGGGCGCCCCCTATGGCCCCGCGGGTTTCCCGGCTGACCCCCCTGGCGCGCCCGCCCCGCCGCTGAGGCCGCTTCGTGCGCGATGGAATGGCCGCCGGCCGCGCCTGGCTTGCGCCGGCCGCAGCCTCCCTTCCAATGTGTTTTCCAACCGCTGCCCTGCGTCGCTTCCTCTCCTGAGATAATTCATTCTCCCGCGGGGCGTTTTGCGTGGAATCCCGCCGTGAGATGCGCGTTCAAGTGTGGAGGGCATGATGTAGAACGCGTGGGAAAAAAGACATTGCGCGCGCCGGTCGAGGATGGCGAGCCCGGAGCCCCGCGCTCATAATCCTTTGCGAATATTTGTGCTTGCGGGCCCCATGGGGCCGAGAAAACCCATGGGCGCCCCTGCGTTCCCTGGGAAAGGGAGCCCCGCGCGTTTTGCCAGGGATTGCGCCCTTGGGAGCGCGGGCGCAGGGCGATCTGCTGCAGGTCCCCCGCGCAGGATCACAGACGCAAAGCCTTTTACTCGCAACGTGTCCCTAGGCGCGGCTCGGGGGCGCGGGCCTGGTGAATATTGTTTGGGCAACGTTGCCTTGGGAGCGCGGGCGCAGCGTGGTTTACGAGAGATCCTGGCCTTGGGAGCAAGAACGGAGCGTAATGTTCACTATGCGCTGTGGGGTTCGGGGCGCAGACCCAGTGTAATTATTCCCAGCCTAGGCTCTGCCTAGAAGGGTTCTTACCCTGTATGCTCAATGGGCCGGGCAGCGCCCCCCGCCCCGGGCGGTTCCCCCAGGACCCGCCCCGCGGTTCCCCCTGTGGCGCCCCCTGGGTTCACCCAACTTAGCTTAGCTTAGCGTAGCTTAGCTTAGTTTAGCCTATCTCATCTTGGCTTAGCCTAGCCTAGCTTAGCTCAGCTCAGCTTAGCTTAGCTTAGCTTAGCTCATATCATTTTAGCTTAGCTTAGCTTAGCCTAGCCTAGCCTGGCTTGGCTTAGCTTAGCCTTGCTTAGCTTAGCTTAGCTTCGTGTAGCTTAGTTTATCTCATCTTAGCCTAGCTTCGTTTAGCTTGGCTTAGCTTGGCTTAGCTTTAGCTGGGCGTAGTTTAGCCTACAACGGCTTAGTTTCGCGTAGCTTCGCTGGGCTTAGCTTAGCTTTTAGCTTAACGCAACGCAGCATAGCGCAGCGCAGCATTTGCACATCATAGCATATCACAGCATAGCCAAGCATAGCATGGCATAGCATAGCATAGCATAGCATAGCTCAGCATAGCATCGTATAGCTTGAGCTTAGCTTCAGCTTAGCTTTCGCGTAGTATTAGCGTAGCATTATCTTAGCTTTAGCTTAGCTTTAGCTTAGCTTTACTGTTACTACTAATGCTGCTTTCCTAGGGCTCCAACTCCTAGGTAGGGTCGCACTGGGATAATTGACGTTTCGCGCTTTCTCACCAGCCCCGCCCTTGGTCTTCGTGCTTTTAGTCTTCGGCACGCTCTTTTGGCGGCAGCTTCGCGGGCCGGGCGGTACTGCTGCAGTTCCGCCCGCGTGCGCCGCTCTCCTCAGCGTGTTCTCTTTAGCTACGGAGCGCGGCCCGCCCTAGCACGCTCGGCGTTCAAATCGTCTTCGCGCACCCGCGGACCCCCCCCCCCAAACAAACACTCCACCAGCCCATCCAGAAACGATGCCCAGGCGAATTGAGGTGATCAGGAAACTGCAAGAGCAAAGCGGGGGGGCAGCCGTTATCTTTGGAAAGAGGGGGATCATGGAGAAGGGAGAAGGGAAACTTATTATACATAGCGGGCGTGTAGAAACCTAAGACCCACCAGCGATGTTGCAATCAACTCTCCCTCCACATTCCGTTGAACATCCAGAATTGTACGAGAACGCCATTTTTGGGACACCAGCGCCAGGGGTCACCGTTATGATTGCGCCTTGACGATCTTGAACTGCGCCAGAACACAATTCCTGGGATTTCGCACAGCGAATCAACGTGAGTGCTGCGCCCGACATTCGGACATCGTGTCAGATCACAATCATGGGGTTACAAACTGTAAAGGCGATTTCGCACGGCGATTGAAAAAACGAGAACAACATTTTGAAAAGGAACGGCCCTCCGTCCGCGAAGTTCTTGCAACCTTTTAAGACGAATGCGCGCTGCGCGAAGGTAGCAGCCACGTCTTCAAAACGGGCCGCCATCCATTCAGGAGGTTCTTAAAATTGGTTGCGACGAGCGTGTGCGGCGCTACGGCGAGAGCCACATTTTGAACACGGGCCGCCCTCCATCTGTGAAGCTCCCGCAGTTTTGTAAAACGAATGTGCGCGCCGCTCAAGCGAGAGCAACATTTGCAAACGGGCCGCCGTCCATCATGGAAATTCGTGCGAATATTTACAACGAGCGCGCGCGGCGCAAAGGCGAGATCCACATTTTGAGAATGGGCCGCCCTTTACCCGTGAAACTGCTGCAATGTTGTAAGACGAATGTACGCGGCGGACGGGAGTCACATGTTTAAAACAGCCGCCTTTTTTCGAGCGATCTTGGGGCCTCTTCTGGCCGTCTGGGAGCGTCGGGACGGCGAAAAGGCGGGAACGACAAAATCTTTCAACAACACAGAGGACATGAATCAATGTTGGCCTCCAGGGCCGCTGTTGGGGCTGTCTGGGGCCATGTTCGGGGTATCTTGAAGCCTCGTGTGACGCTCTTCGGGCCATCTTGGGGCCTGCTTCCCACTGATGTCGATTGAAATGCTCCCTTGGAGCTCCGTTGGGTTCCCCCCGCGTGCTCCTGCAGCTCCGTTTCCGGTCAATAAGATCGCCCCGGGGAGTTTCGGCATTTCTGAGACCACCTTGCCGGAGTGCTCTTAGTCCGGGGACATCCAGGGGCGGCCCCGCGCGCGCGATCTATACGTAGTCTGAGCATGTGACCAGAGATCGAACGCCTCTGGCCTGTTGGGCCAGTGAACTTGGCGAGACAGGAGTCTCTTGGATGCAAATGAGCAAGCATATTTGGAGGGCTCTTGGAATGCTTCTCAGGTCCATCTTGGAGGGCGCTTTGTGGCATCTGGCGCGCTTTGAGGGGCTTCCTGTGTGGAGGAGGAGCAGGAGCAGGAGGAAGAGGAGGCCCGAACCCCCTCGCATCCTTGTAGCTGTCGCTTTTCTTGAAGGGCACCGCACTGCGGAGGAGGAGGAGGAGGAGGAGGAGGAGGAGGAGGAGGAGGAGGAGGAGAGGGCTCGAACCCGTCGGTCCTTCTAACTGTTGCGAAAACCGCCCCGAAGCCGTCCAAAGACATGGTTTCCTAACGTCTGCGAGCGGGGTCACAATTAAAACGCATCGCTTCCTGTCGCCATTGAGCTCAAACTATGTGTTCTTACATGGGCTCCTGACCGTGAGCGAGTGAACCGTCAAGACACACTGCTCTGTTCGCCCGAGAGCTGATCGCATGTATTGGGGTTCCTAACGCCTGTGAGCGGTACAGCCGTCAAAACGCATGGGCCCTCTTCGACCCGCACATTTCGACTGCAACCAGCTCTGGGCGAGCTGTAGGTTCTATCAGCTCGAGCTTGAGATCCAGATCATTCCAGTCAGGATTCGGACACCAAGGCGATTTGATCCACAACGCAATGGAACACAGCACAACACAGCAGGACGCAGCACAGTTCAACACAGCACCGTTCAGTCGCAATTCGCATCAGGATCGCGGTTGTGGGGGCGAAATGTCTTGGTAATTTGCGAAGGATTTGGGCCATCGGGGTGCGGTTCCCTTGGGCCGAAACGTATCCAATTCGTCCAGGTCTTGGTTCGTCTTGCCTAGACTCGATTAGGGTCTGATCGGCCTTCGTCTCGGTTCGTATTGCTTCGATTCATCCTGTCTCTGTGTTTCGGTCCGTCCATTGCCGGTGCGTTTCGCATCGGGTCGGATCGGATTTGCCCCTGCTTGGTCCGTCCCGTTTCGGTATTGAATCGGATTTTCACCTCGAGCTGGTGGTTGAGCGTCCCGCACGTTTCAACTGCAGCCAGCTCTGGGCGAGCTGAGCAATCAGGCAGCACGAGCTTAAGATCCAGATCAGTGCGGTCAGGACTCAGATGCCAACGACGATTTGAACCACAACGCTATAGGGCACAACGCAGTTGACCGCGACATGACACAGATCAATTCAGCACGGCACACCACAGCACAGCCACTGGCAAGGTACATCCCCAGCGATACCGTCAGCATCATTGCAATTGCCCATCGCCCGATGAGGCGTCTTGAACACGGCTCGTTGTTTCACATGTCTACATTTCTTTCCGAGTTCGTGCGTCGATCATTTTTGTTTGAACGGGGCTCAATTGAATTTATTGCAGAACGTTCGGAACTTGGACCCTACTGTTGCTTTGCTGAGCGGTGCCTACAAGAAGTGTACAGTTGTTCTTTGCCCCCCCCCCAGGTTCATATGAGGAGGGCTTGATGGAGGTGGCCAAGGCGAACAGCGCGAGCGTATTCGCATGTGACGCCTACGATTTATTCCAAACGTGGCAGTCAACCTACGTTGATTGGGCTTCCGAGCAGACGACTTTGCAGAACACTGATGTCTTCCTCAACGTATGGGAGCAGGTCTTCCAAACGCGGTGAAGATCACACGTACCCTAATCCTTCCCACCTTTCAGCAAGAGGGGAGGAGGGGAATTGGTTGCAGCTCTGGCTTATCAGTCGATCCCTGGCCCCAAGGTCAAGAAAGCTGGACACCTCTGGTCGCACAGCTGGACAGTGAAAGTGGACCCGGATTGCCTTCTCGTGCCGCAGCGCTTGAAGTGGCATTTGGAGGCGCATCAAGCAGCATCAAACATCATATGCACAACAGTATCCATTGCGCCTGCGGCGAACCACCGCCGCTGTCTGCCTTGTGGAAACGCCTATGTGGTCAAATGTTGGACCAGATTCTTGCCAAGCTGTTGGGCCATGTGTACCCCCAGCCTCTGCGGATTTGGTGTGGCAGTTCGTCGAACTCCCCCGGGGAACCCCCCATTTGGATTTTTGTTCGTTTTTTTTTTCTTGGGGTTTCCGGGGAGGGAAACCTCTGAAGAAGCACCCATCTCAAGTTTGTAATTGTTGTTCTCGTGTTTTCCTGGGGAGACTTCTCTGTGGTTATTCTATGGTTTTTCGGTCGTTCTGGGCCCCCATAATGAAAAACACAACTCTTTCAGAAAACTCCGCAGGAAACCTCCGAAAGAAAACCCAAATCGTTGTTTTGTGTTTGATGTCTTTTCTACTGTTTTTGGAAGGTTTTCCGGGGGGAAGCCCCCGAACAAAACAAGTCAAATTCGTTTGTTTGTTTGTTTCCAGGGTTCTTCCGGGGGGGAACTCCCGAACAAAAAACCCAACTCGTGTTTGTTGTTTTTGTTTTTCGTCTGTCTGAGGCTTTTCTGAGGTTTTGGGGCCCCACAATTAAAAACAAATCTTGGCGAAGAACCCAACCATATGCAGCTGTGAGTGCCGCGTTGTGGGTACCGCTCCCGGTGGAACCCCCTATGGGGCCACGATCTTCGTAAGGGGTGTGCCGAAATGGTTGGGAGACGCATGCAAACCCTGCCGCTGGGGCCTTCGGTGGAGCTCCCTATGGGGCCACGATCCTCGTGAGGGGTGTGCCGAAATGGGCAGGGGGACGCATGCAAACCTTGCGGCTGGAGACTTCGGGGGAGCTCCCCATGGGGCCGCGATCCGCGTGAGGGGTGTGCCGAAGTCAGCGGGGGGGGGCGCATGCAAACCCTGCCGCTTGGGCCTTCGGCGGAGCTCCCTATGGGGCAACGATCCTCGGGAGGGGTGTGCCGACATGGGCGGGGGGACGCATGCAAACCCTGCCGCTGGGGCTTTCGGTGGAGCTCCCCAGGTCTTCGGTGGAGCTCCCTGCGGGGCCACGATCCTCGTGAGGGGTGTGCCGAAATCGGCTGGGAGGCGCATGCAAACCCTGCCGCTGGGGCCTTCGGTGGAGCTCCCTGCGGGGCCACGATCCTCGTGAGGGGTGTGCCGAAATCGGCTGGGAGGCGCATGCAAACCCTGCCGCTGGGGCCTTCGATGGAGCTCCCTATGGGGCCACGATCTTCGTGAGGGGTGTGCCGAACTCGGCTGGGGGGCGCATGCAAACCTTGCCGCTGGAGCTTTCGGTGGAGCTTCCAATGGGGCCACGATTCTTGTGAGGGGTGTGCAGAAATCAGCGTGGGGTCGCATGCAAACCCTGCCGCTGGGGCCTTCGGTGGAGCCCCCCTATGGAGCTGCGATCCTAGTGAGGGGGGTGATGAAATCGTCGGGGGGGGGCGCATGCAAACCCTGCCGTTGGGGCCTACGGTGTAGCCCCCTATGGGGCCACGATCTTTGCTTGGTGTGCCGAACTGGGTGGGGGACGCATGCAAACCATGCCATTGGAGCCTTCGGTGGAGCTCCCTCCGTGCGGAGCCACGATCCTCGTGAGGGTGTGCCGAATTCGGCTGGGGGGCGCATGCAAACCCTGCGGCTGGGGCCTTCGGTGGAGCTCCCTATGGGGCCACGATCCTCGTGAGGGCTGTGCAGAAATCCGCGGGGGGCGCATGCACACCTTGCGGCTGGAGCCTTCGGGGGAGCTCCCCATGGAGCCGCGATCCTCGTGAGGGGTTTGTTGGAATCAGCAAGGGAGCGCATGCAAACCATGCCGTTGGGGCCTTCGGTAGAGCTCCCTATGGGGGGCCGCGATCCTCGTGAGGGGTGTGCCGAATTCGGCTGGGGGGCGCATGCAAACCCCGCGGCTGCTGGGACTTCGGGGGAGCTCCCTATGTGGCCGCGATCCGCGTGAGGGGTGTGCAGAAATCCGCGGGGGGGGCGCATGCAAACCCTGCCGCTGGGGCCTTCGGTGGGCCCCCATATGGGGCCCATTATTTGTCAGAAAAAAAGGAACTCACCGACACACACACACACACACACACACACACACACACACACACACACACACACACACACACACACACACACACACACACACACACACACACACACACACACACACACACACATTCACAACCCCACCTCATACGTTTTTCCCAACCATCCTATTGTGTTGGGTTCTCGTTTTGAAAAGACAGCGCCCCGCGCCCCTCCTCTGATCTCCTCTCGTCTCCTCCCCCTCCTCCTCCCCCTCCTCCCTCCCATCCGTCTTTTCACCTCCCTGCGTTTCACTCACCCAGTACAGCGTTTCGTGGCCCCACAGGGAGCTCCACCGAAGGCTCCAGTGTCAGGGCCCGCATGCGCCAGCGCCACCCAGGACAGCGCTTCGTGGCCCCATCGGAAGCCCCACCGAAGGCTCCAGCGACAGGGTCCGCATGCGCCAACGCCACCCAGGAAAGCGCTTCGTAGCGCCACATACGGAGCTCCACCGAAGGCTCCAGTGGCAGGGTCTGCATGCGTCACCGCCACCCATGACAGCGCTTCGTGGCCCCATAGGGAGCTCCACATAAGGTCCCAGTGGACAGGGTCAGCATGCGCCAAGGCCACCCAGGACAGCGCTTCGTGGCCCCATAGAGAGCTCCACCGAAGACTCCAGTGGCGGGGTCCGCATGCGCCAACGCCGCCCAGGACCGCGCTTCGTGGCCCCATAGGGAGCACCACCGAAGCAGTCCAGGACAGCTTTTCGTGGCCCCGTAGGGAGCTCCACCGAAGGCTCCAGCGACACGGTCCGCATGCGCCAACGCCACCCAGGACAGCGCTTCGTAGCGCCATAAGGGGGCCCCGCCGAAGGCTCCAATGGCAGGGCCCGCGTGCGTCAAGGCCACCCAGGACAGCGCTTCGTGGCCCCATCGGGATGGAAGGGTCCGCATGCGTCAAAATCACCCAGGCATGTTTCGTGGCCCCATAGGGAGCCCCACCGAAGGTTCCAGTGGCAGGGCCCGCATGCGTCAGCGCCATCCAGGACAGCGCTTCGTGGCCACATCGGGAGCCCCGCCGAAGGCTCCAGTGGCAGGGTCGGCATGCGCCAGCGCCACCCAGGAAAGCGCTTCGTGGCCCCATCGGGAGCTCCACCGAAGGCTCTTGTGGCAGGGTCCGCATGCGCCAACGCCACCCAGGACGGCACATCGAGGCCCCATAGGACGCTCCACCGACGGCTCCAGTGGCAGGGCCAGCATGCGCTAACGCCACCCAGTTAGACACACCCCTCACACGGTTCGTGGCCCCATAGGGAGCTCCACCGAAAGCCCCAGCGGCAGGGTCTGCATGCGTCACCGCCACCCATGACAGCGCTTCGTAGCGCCACATACGGAGCTCCACCGAAGGCCCCAGTGGCACTGTTCGCATGCGTCTCCCCCGCCCGGGACAGCGTTTCGTGGCCCCATGGGGGGCTCCACCGAAGGCTCCAGCGGCAGGGTCCGCATGCGCCCCCCCCCCCCGCCCAGGACAGCACATCGTGGCCTCATAGGGAGCTCCACCGAAGGCTCCAGTGGCAGGGCCCCCACCGAGGACAGCGTTTCGTGGCCCCACAGTCTGAGTGTAATGCATGTAAGAGCGCGTTTGCTGTGCACCTGCCCCTCTCCTGTCGAGCCCCCATCCGTTCGCCCGCCTCGGCCGAAGGCGAGAGCTGGCGGGTTTCTTCTTGGCGAAGAGATCGACGGCGCCGATCACTCCGCGCAGCGGCTTGCGTGGACGCAAGGTGTCCATCATCAGTGCCGATATCCCAGCAAATATCTTCAGGCTACCGCAGAGGCGAGTTCTACGACTCTGATTGGTAGTGGAGCCCGTGGGCCCCGGAAGCACGGGCATCTGTCGGTCTCGGCCTGAGGGGCGACAACATCAGCGGCGACGACCATCGCGCCCGACCAGGCGGCGACAACAATTCGAGTGGATGCACCGACCTGGAACGGAGAGACAGAACAGTTTACCAGCTACAGGTCCGAGGTTGCCATGTTACGGAGAGCATCGAGGCGCCCGAACGATGCGCGCGCGGGCCGCAACTCGCGCGCGCCCTAGGGGCGCGGGTTCGAACGGCGGCGGGGAGCTGCCTGCGCATCCACGAAGTCGACGAAACCAAGAAAGATGGGCACCTGGCGGGCTGGGATCGCGCTTTCGACTGCGCGCTGGATAAGCTGGACTACGCCAGCCTCGAAGACACGGGCCCCATCGCCGAGGAATTCTTCCTGGAGATCGCCGGAAGGAGCGAGAGCTGTTGACGCGTCGCAACGCGATCGACGGAGATGTTCGAGCGGCGATCGCGAAGCCTCTTCGCGCACGCGGTTCTTGAGAGAGCCGAGGGCGACGCCAGCATTGCGAGGAGAAGTGACTGCCACGGCGGGCGGCGAACATGACTGCGGCAAGGTGCGCGAGACCCTGTCGACGAGGTGCCCCGCTGAAGCGTTGACAGAGCTCAACGGCGCGCAGCGCCGCGACGGGTTTTTTTCCGATAACGACGTCGATTACTTCGAAGAAGAGACCGGTGGAGAAAATTACGGTGAGGTTCATGGGGTGGTCGAGCAGCTGGTCAGTCTAGCCGACGAGGAAGACGGCGATGATCCAACAGCTGAAGACCACAGCGCGGACAACGAGGCGTTCGCAGAGTTCAAGCTGGTGGGCAGGGGCTTCAAGAATGTGAGAGTCCTGCTACGACGGCCGCGCGCGTCCCACGACTACTACCCGGCGACGGCTACGAAGCATGAGCAACGACGGCGGACGCCGCCACCCACAGGCCCATGGCGAGGACATCCGCGACCTAGGCGCGGACGGGGGCGCGGGCCTTTCGGCGGGCGACCCGAGTGCGAGGTAGCGCGCGGCGGCGGACGCCGCAGCCTCGCTAAGATGAGCTGCGTCGCCTGTCGTGGGCGCGGTCGCCGGGCTGTGGATTGCCCGGGAAGGTTCCACGACAAAGGGGGGGGCGGTGAGAAGCGCGACAAGATCAGCCCACACAACGGCTTCATCCTATCGGCCCTGGACGACTACGTGCACCTCCTGGGGCGGGACAGCATCAGGGCTCTTTTCGACATCGGGGCCGCCAGGAGCCCCAGAGGAGCTGCGGGGATCGAGGGCCTGATGTGCGACGCTTGACCAGCATGACGTGGAGTTCGAGACTAGCAGTGATTCGTGCCCCTTCGCCTTCGGCGACGGCTTCTCGAAGAGTTCGATGGGCGCAGTGAAAGGCGTGTTCCTGGGAGGCGAGCTGATCCATCACCATTGACCTTTCCGCGATGCCGAACCGCGTTCCCATCCTCGTGGGCGCGGACATTTTGACGGACATCCTGAAGGCGGTGGTCGACTGCGGCCACAATTGGATCGACCCCCCGACCTTCGGCGAAGTCCTCCACTGCGCGCGCTCCGCTCCAGCAACCGCCTGGCGGCCATCATGTCGAGGCCGCAGCGGTGGAAGGAGGTGCCTTCTCCCACGCCTGACTTCGGAGGTGACGGCGCAGGAAGCACTGATCGAAGGGGTGCCCGACGAGGCTGCCCCGCGCCGCGGTGGTCTCGCCGCGCGCTAGGTGCGACGCCCCTAGGCGGTGGTCGCGAGAGAGAGAGAGAGAGAGAGAGAGAGAGAGAGAGAGAGAGAGCTCATCTCGGTCGGCAAGCTCACCATCGGAGGGTGCCCAACCGATTCGGTCAGCGAGACGACGAGATACCTGCCGGAGCGACGGGAGCCTCGGCGGCGCGGACACCTACCAGAGCGACGGAAATAGCGACAGCGAGCGGTCCGTCCGGAACAACGAGATATTCGAGATCGAGCGGCCGTTCGATCGGCTCGTCGAGAGGGTCATCAACAGCCGTTGGAAAAGATCAAACGAGCCAGTCTCAGGAGCAAGTTGCGAGAAATAAGACGAGTGAGGACGGAGGAAAACAGACAGCACGATTCGAAACCATAGCCATATCGCGTTCCAATTCACGTCTTGTCATCAGCCAAGAGCGGTTCGATTCATAAACGCAGCATCAGCCGCAGTCAGCAGTCCTTTCCATATCCCCCATATCCGACGCCGCCAGTTTCCATGCGGCGACTCTTCTCGGCCTGCGTCTGCACCTGTGCCGGCGCCTCCGGTAGCCTAGAGCCGACCAGGGGCGCGCGCGCCAGCTGCGCCGCCGACATCAACAGCTCGGGCGACCCCAGAGACCTCGGCGAGCAACAGCCCAGGAGGGCAGCGCTCGTGCTGCGGAGGCTGGGAAAAGGCAAAACGCGGATGCAGTTGCTTCGGAGGCAAGCGGCAAGGGTCACCAGTGTCTCCGACGAGTGCCAGCTCAAGGAACGCCGGGAAGCCCGACGTCACCGAGGAGCACGCGCTCGTGCTGCGGGGCCCCGGGGAGGACGCTTCGGGGGCGCAGCTGTCGCGGAGGCAAGAGCCACCGGAGCGCGAGGGCCCGCGCCGAGACGATCCGGGGGCAGGCGGTGGCTCTGCTGGCGACGCCTGACCGGCAAGCTGGCGTCTCCAGAGTTTCACGACGGCGGGAAGCTTACGGACGAGACGCTCGACGACTCGGATCTGGTGGAGGTGGACATGAAGAGGAAACGCTGGTAGCGCCCAACGACCAGGACCTCCAGATGTTCTTCGAGGGGCATGACCAGGTCATGAACGGGATTCAAAAAAACGTCGCCGAGGACCTCGCCGAGCTGTCCAAGCCACACCGCATCGACCTTAGAGGAAGACTGCCCTGAAGATTCTGGGCTGAGCAAGGTGAACAGTGGAAAGCCGACCCCAGCCCCTACAATTGTGGATTTTACTTGCCAGCGTTACGTGTGGCGAACATGCGTAAGTATAGGCGCCATGTCGGCGAGGCCATTGCCAAGTGCCGCGGGGGGGGGGGGGGCCGCGCGCGCGGCGACCTCCCGGGCCCGCTCGACGCGGCCGCGCCCGCGCCGGCATTTCCAGCGCCGCGCGCGCCGCGTCCGCGGCATGCAGGTCGAGGCGACGCCCGCGCTGCCCCTCGCGCGGCAGCGCCGCTGGCCCAGCCGAGGGCCCCCGCCCCTGGCTCGTCGCCCCCTCGCAACCCGCCGACGGAAAAGTTTGGATCTGGAGCGTTCCTCTTGAGGCAACGGTTAGTTTAGATCGATTATATATAGAGTTTATATACACTTTTTTGCCCGGTGCCTAAATTTTGCTTTCGGGGTGGATCTAAACTTTTCGATGCTCGCCCGTGCGGGGCGGTCCCCGGGGGCCGTTCCGGACTCTTGCCAGCGCCGCTAAGGGCCGACGCGCCCCTTGGTTTTTGCCTTGGCACGAGCGCGCGAACATCCACAATGACTTTGGGCATCGGCCGTGTGCCGACGCAAGGTGGCGCCAAGTTCAATTGCTTATGAACGTAGCAGCAGCGCGCCGTTCGCATCGAATTGCGCGGCGTTGTCGCTGGCTGGCCGTCGAGCTGGTTCCGCTTGCAGTTCGCCCGTCGTTTGACGGCCCCATTCGTCGAATGGCAGTTCCTCATGTCGGGGGCGGGGGTCGTCTGTCATGCGTTCGCAAGGCCGGGCAGGACCAGGGCGGCAAGGTGTTCAGGTTCGGCTTTTTTTGGACGGAATAAATGTGGCGACGGCCCTTGATCTGCGACGGGCAACGCAACTACTTCGGCGACTTTGACCGCGCCGAGTAGTCCTGTCCCCACCATTCACCGCGGACAGCCCGACCCAGAACATCAGCCAGAGGTCTGGCCGCCAGAAGCTCTGGTACCTGACCAAGGTACACAGGGCCCGCCGGATCCAGCGCAACTGCAAGTGCCTCTGGGGGAAGGCGCAGAAAATCTCCGATTGCCACGCAGACCTCGCGCAGCCAGCCACCAGCCGGCGCTGGTCGCAGTCTCCCGCCATCAAGGCGACGTGCGAACAGATGCGCGAGACCGTGATCCATATGGCTGCGCATGCGGTCTTCGCGAAACTCGGCCAGGCCGACTGATGCAGAGGCCCGGTGGATCTGCTCTACTCGGCGCGGAGTTCGGCCGAACATGTTCGAATCCCCCGGGGAGAGGGTGGCGGCCCAGACGGCGCACTACCCTCCAGCTCTCTGGGCAGGAAATCAGCGCTGTACAACGCGGCATGGAGGCCTTCGCCGGCCGGGAGCAGGTCCACGAAGTTCTATGACTTGTCGAATGCATTCCAGTGCCCACGTCAGGCTGACCTTGTGACGTACGCTTACGAGTGCTGTGATGATCCGGATGACAAGCGTTTTATCAGCAACGGGTGCAGGATGCGTGTCTTACGGTTGAGACATCAGAAGGCCCTCTGCATTTCCGATTCGGGAGTGGTGCTCTCCCCGGGGACACGGTCGCGCCGAAGTGGTTCTTGGGCATATTTCATTTGGCCATCGACAGGTTTCTGGCGAGTTCGCCTCCGCCACGGCGCGTGGCGCGGCTTCCATGGCTCAAGGATCTGTTGCTTTCCGAAGCCCCAGCGCCGTACTGGCGTTTGCACTATCACATCGGCGACCTGGGGCTTCACGGCGTCGACGTCTCTCCCAGCACGTACGCAGGCGATTTCGCTCGCACCTTTTTGTGCGACAATCGGGTGCCCGAGTTTCAGGCTGAGTCTTGTCTTTGGTTTTCCAGATTGGACGAATGTCTGTTTGCGCATGCGCTTGCACAGAACCATGACAGACAAGAGCAACAACCTCATCAGTTCGGTGCCGGGTCCTCTGCTTCGACCAGATATTATTTTCAGCAGGGCGTCATTCCGACAGCCCCGGAGGAGGAGGAGGGGGAGAGGATGGCCCGGGAAGCCTGGAGGGACAAGGAGAACATGGAGGAGGCACTCGCCGTGGAGGTGGGGGTCAGGAAGGCCACGGGGGACATGGAAGTGAGAGTCGCCTCGGCGGAGGTGGTGGAGTTGGAGGAGGTGGTGGAGTTGGAGGGAGCAGGTGCATGGTCGTGTTCTTGTGTCGTGCAGGCATTTAGGACCTCACGTGAACTACGCCGGTTCTTTCGTGCCAGAACGACAACGTCGCGTGCAAGTTGCTTGGGGGTCTTACCATCTGAGTCGTTTCTTCGCCTTCAACAGGTGCAGGCGTTGGGCCAGCATCGTGTTCCGGTGTCTTATCGATTCCTCGTTGCTAAGTGCGTGCTCTGCTTGGTTTGTCTCTCCGGTGGACTGCCGTGCTTTGGGTGCGGCCAGGGCTAAGATAGCTCGTGCTGCTCTCCGCGGAGATGCCTTTCCTGCTTGCGCGTTGGCTGATGGAAGGGTGGTGCGTACGCGTTGGACTAATTATGCTGTCTTCAAGGCTCTCCGGCTCCAGCCTGTTTCCATCGTGCTGAGGCAGGCACGTCTACGTTGGTGGTAAACTATTGTCCGATTTCCATGGGATTTCGTGCATCAGCTGGCAGTCTTTTTCGGCGAGCTTCCGTTCGACCATGGACGGGCCCCCGTGATGCCCGACGGCGCAGTTCTTTCAAAAGTTCACCCTTGGTTTCACCAGCTGTGCTCTGATTCGGAAGTACTGGGCAGCCTGTTAGGCAGTGGAGCGATTATCGATGCTGCCTCACGTCCGTCATTTCTGGTCTCGAACGAAGGCTGCAGGGAGGAGTTTATGGGTGGATGTTGGGATTTTAGCGCCTCAGTGGAAGAGTGCGGCTATTTCTCCTCCTCCTGGTCTTGGCCCCCCTCCCTCCCTTGGCGGCAGCGTGGGCGGGGGAAACGATATAGGCGACGTGGCGGCGGAAGGTGAGGAGGAGGAGAAGCGCGAGTCGTTCGTCTGCGATTTGGAGGTCGATGGAGTTGTCCGTGGGGCCAGGTATCGCACGTGGCAGGGGTTACGTACACATCAAACACACAGTCGTACGCATGGTCGCTGCACGCTCGAGTGCTATTGCACTGGTAGCAATCGTTGCCCAGCGTGCAAAGCAGTCTTTTCTTTCTCGTCGTCAGGCACAGTATCATCTTCAGCGGAGCTTGGCGCGTAATCCGCCAGGGTGCAAATTCGAGTTTGAACAAGGCAGCATCTTCTGTCCGCCTGTGGTGGTGGAGCGACCGTTGTCGTGCACGTTGTGTGATCCTGCCGTAGTCTACCCGGATTTGGTGCGGCTCGAGTGGCATTTCAGCGAAGTGCATTGGTCCGATCTTCTCTTCGATTTTGGTGACTTTCCGGGTTCCATATACCAGTAAGCCAGGGCATCATGGCTCGCTTCCGGCTCTTGCTTGTCGCTTTGCTGGCGGCGTCGCTCTTTCACCCGGCTGGGGCGACGCTTGCCTGGGAGGGTGATTTCAAGAGGCTCGGGGACCCGGTCGAGAGTCAGGCCGAGGGCAGGCGCATGGGGGCGGATCCGACCACGAAGCTTCAAGAGCTGGTCAAGATTCTTGCCAAATTTTGTCTGAAGAACGCTCAGGAATTACGCGCGGTGCTAGCAGTTGCTTGTCTGTGCTTCAAGATTCCGCTTGCAATTCTATTTACAAGAACATGAAGGTTGAAATCAAGAATCATGCTGGTCGCACACGTGGCCGGTCCGGTCACGGTGAGGGCGCGCCGGGGCCATTGGCATTCATGGAGCTCTTGATGGAACTCAATGCGTCTGCTGATGATTCGTCCAAAGATGTGCTCAATGAATTTGCATAAGGTTCGACCGCCTGCTTGCCCGGAGCTGCGAATGCATATTCTCTGCGCGAAGCTTGAAGACTGCTGGGACAGGAAGCGCGCCAAACTCTACGTCCGGCTGGTTCCTGTGTGCCGCGCTGTCGAACTGAGAATCATGGAAGTTATGAAGGTGTTAGGGCGCCGGCACTTGACTGGCCAGGCCCCCGAAGGGAGTTTGGAGAGGCGTGCGCAGGAGCTCCTGGACCAGCTCGAGGGCAACAGCCCGGGGCGCCAGGATGTAGAAGGCTGATCGCGTTGGCTTGTTCTTGTCGTCCCTGCTTGCTGCCTCTCCTGTGCTTGCTGCTTCTCGTTGTCCTGCTGCTCCCCGTCCATATGAATGAATCTCGCCGGTGTGGCCCAGAGCCGCTTCCGGCGCGGGCTCCCGGCAGCAGCGCAACGGTCGTTGCTCGTGGGCGCGGATTGTGCGCATTCGAACGAATTTCATTTTGAGATGCATTGTCCGCTCGCCTGCATTGCGCGAAGATGCGGCAGATTATATTCTGCTTGCAGGTTCCCTCAGAGTTCTGGCCGAGGCCTAGGAGCGCTGACCTTGGACCCCCCCAGGGCGCGACGACGACGACGAGGTTTCTGACGGAGAATAAGCAGCAGCCACGGAGGACAAACGGCCGCCGGACGACGTCAACGACATGGACGAGGCGGCCATCATGCAGGTCCACGGCATCTCGAATGTTCCGACGATGAAGGAGGAGCTGGAGATGTGCAAGGCGGAAAAAGTAGTTTTCCCATTTTGGAAAAGTAGCAAACATAATATTCGAGTCGGGAAAAGTAGTGTTAATGCAGTTTCAAGGGGGAAATAGCTTTCCCAACGTAGACATAACATTCGAATGCCAATGTGCGGGTTGATCAGGGCGCGCGCTGCGAATGTGTCGCACTGCAGCCATCATTGCCGCGGCCATCCCAGGCGAGCTGCGCGCGCCGCGTTGCTTGAGGTTTGCAGGCGGGGGCCGCGCCGCGCGAAACAAGCGCTTGGCGTTGGGGGCCATAAATGCAAGGTCGCAGCGCCGGCGTCTTCTTGTAGTCTACAGGGCGGCCCGCGGATTCCACGGCGCACGGCGCTCTCTGCCGGCTGCAGCTTTTTGATCGGGGCCGAGCAAGCGGCGGAGTCCCGCCCGCCAGGCCAGCGCGCAGCGAACGATGGGTGAATTTGGAACCTTGCGTGGGGGCGGGGAAATTACTTCGCCGATTTAGGATGCAACTTCGGGGCTTCGGGGCGCCCCCAGGGCCCGCCGAGCAAGGGCCGCGTGCTTAACGTGGCTAGGCCACAGGGGCGTATCTAACACGGCTGCCCAGAGCTGGCACCGCGTGTTTTTACGTGTCCAGGCCACCCAGGGGTGTATCTAACATGTTTGCCCAGAGTTGGCCCCGCGTGTTTTCACGTGTCCAGGCCACCCAGAGGGGCGCTGACACGGTTGTCCCGAATCGGAGTTACGTGGTTTTAAGCGCTCAGGCCGCCCAGGGGGTAGTTAACATGGCGGAGCTAGGTGCTTTAACGTGTCCAGGCCATCAAGGGGGTACCGAACATGGGCTTCCTGGGGCCTTCCTGGGGGCCTGGAGCGGACGTCTAACATGTAGATGTGTTGAGGATGTCTCGAGCGAACCACTTGTTTTCAGGTGTTCAGTTCGCCCAGGCGGATGTATAACGCAAGTATGTGTTGAGGATGTGTTGAGCGAAACGCTTGACTGCACGTGTCCATGTCGCCCAGCCGGATGTTTAGCACGAGGATTTGGGCAGGATGTCTCGAGCGAGTCGCTTGTCCCCAGCACGTTCCCTAGCGCGTCCCCTTGGCACGTCCCGCGGTGCGTCCCCGTGGCACTTCCCCTGGCACGTCGCGTGGCGCGTCTCTTGGACGTGCAGCGCCGCGTCCTTCTAGCATGTTCCCTTGTCAATTCGTTTTGGGGTTGCTACTATGTGTTCAGGCAGCTCGAACTTGAGATCCAAGATCCGTGTGGGCAGGATTCGGATGCAAAGGAGGACTCGATCCGCAACGTTATAGAGCACAATTGCGGCATGACGCATCGCAGTTCAACGCTGCGCAGCACAGCGCAGCCTTCGGCACGGTACATCAAGACCGATACACTCATCATTGCAATTTGGCACGTTCCTTGGCACGTTCCGTGGCGCGTCCCGTGGCGAGTCCCTTTGGCACGTCGCGCGGCGCGTCCCGTGGCACGTCCCGTGGCACGTCCATTGGCACGTTCCGTAACGCGTCCCCTGTGGCACGTCCCACGGTGCGTCCCCATGGCACGTCCCCTGGCACGTCGCGTGGCGCGTCTCTTTGGGACGTTTCGCGGAGCGTCCTCCCATCATGTCCCCCTGTCAATTAGCTCTGGGGCAGCCACTATTCGCTCGGGCAGCTCGGGCTTAAGATCCATATCGCTTCGGTCAGGACTCGGATATGCAAAGGAGGACTCGATCCACAACGTTATAGAGCACAGTTGCGGCATGGCACATCGCAGTTCAGCACGGCGCAGCACAGAGCAGCCTTCGGCACGGTACATCAAGTTCGGGTGTTTCCCGGGAGGGGTCCAGGGAACTCGCACACCAGTCTCGCTGCAGAAACTCTTGGGGGCAATACTTGGGGGCCTCTTTCTGGCCCACATGGGACCTTTGGGGGACGTTTCGGGGTCCTCTTGGGGCCCCTTGGGGGCCTTTTGGTGCCTCTCGAGGCCTCCAGGGGACTTCGTGGGATCTCTTGGGAGCTCTTAGAGGCGTCTTGGGGGCCTCTTGGAGGCATCCCTGGGGCATCTTGGGGGCCTGTGGGGGACTCTTGGGGGTCTCTTGGGGTCCTCTTAGGGGCCTCTTAGGAGCATCTTGGGGGCCTCTAGGGGTCCTGTTGGGAGCTTCCTGGGTCGTCTTGGGGCGATCTTGGGTGCCTCCTGGGCAATCTTAGACGCAAAAGGCGAATGTGCTAAAAATGTACGTTTGTCCATCGGAATTTGTTAACTGTTGCTTCTTGAGGCCCTGTTGAGATGCCTCTGAAGGCCCTCTTGGGCCTCTCTTGGACCATCTTGAGGCATTATTGAAGCATCTTGGGATCATGTTCGGGCCATCGTGAGGCCTTCCACTTATTGATCCCGACTCATGGGTCCTCTTGGAGCTCCCTTCTCTTGGGGCGCTCTTGGGGCGACCTGAAGGGCGCCGAAGCCGCCCCCGGGTGGTCCGGCATCCTTGACGGGACTTTGCCGGGACCTTGCCGGGGATCGTGCCGGGTGATTTTCGCCCACGGACCCCCAGGGGCCGCCCTGCGCGCGCGAACTAGAGATATTGTTAGCCAGTTATTGGAGATCTTAGCAGCACGCCTCTGGCCCGTTGGGCCGGCGAATGACAGGATCCACCCCACCCAAAGTATTCAGCACCTCCTAGCCTCCCCCCCCGTCCGAAAGTCGGGGGGGTCGTACTCTTTCTCCGCACCAGCAAAACAAATGACGATATGAGCGAGAACGACGACGACGACGACGACAACGGCGATGACGACGACGACGACGACGACGACGACGACGACGACGACGACGACGACGACGACGGCGGCGGCGGCGGCGGCGGCGGCGGCGGCGACGACGAAATCGACGGCGAGGGCGAGGGCGAGGGCGATGGCGAGGACGACGACGAACACGACGACTAAAACGACGACGAACACGAACACGAACACGAACACGAACACAAACACGACGACGACGACGACCACGACCAGGACCACGACCACGATCACGGCGAGGCTGACGGCGACGAGACACGTGATAATGCGTCTGTTAGTTTTGGGCGCGCAGACAGGTACCCCTGCAGTTTGGCCTGTGGGTGCGCGTGCATATACAATTACATATTTGAACGCTTGCTTACAGCTAAATTTCTCAGTGCCGGAGGCGCTGAAAGTGCCCAAGAAGCAGCCGATCTACGTGAAAAACAACGACCTGAACGCTTCGCAGGGTAACAACGGTTTCCTTGGCGCAGTCGAGATATTTTCGCGGGAGGCCTTGGAGTTGTACTACGATTGGTGGCCGAATTGTCAGGCGTGCGGGTGGGATGCGTGTGCGCCTCGTCAATTTTTCCTTTGAGTTTCCTGCGTATTGTTGCTAGTTGTGACATTGACGCTCTGCAAGCGTTGTTGCCAGCACTCCTGTGATGTCAGGCTCTGGCCCAGCTCGCGTCAGGAGGGGGAGGCGGAGGGAAGGGGGGAAGGGAGGACAAGGAGGATGTTGCATGATGGGGGAGGGCAAGCAGGGCGTAGGATAAGGACGAGGAGGGGGAGAGGGAACATTACGAGGAGTAGGAGGAGATGGAGGGCGACGACCAGTCTAGGATAAACTAGACTAGGCCAAGCGAACTTTGGCCTGGTCCAACTGCTAACGCAGGTCGAACAACACTGAAGATGAAGCGAAAGTTAAGGTGAATCTTCGGAGGCCTAAGCTGAATCCACAGTTTAACGAAGATAATCATGAACGCACCTGGATCTAAGCCAAACCAAGCTTCGCTAGTATACATTCGGCTGACGCCACATCCGCCAGCTCGTTGATTGGAGTCGGCGGACCGAACATAATGCTTCACGATTCGCGTATCCCCACCGGCCCTCTCAGAAACGTTGCCCATGCGAGCTGACGAGAAGAGTGACAGTGAAACAGCGCGGGCAACCAGGATGAACCGGGAGATCTCTGGGAGCAAGGGGGAGGGTGGCCTTGGAGGGCCTCTTCGGTTCATCGTCGGGGCCCGCGGGGGGGCGATGGGGGGAGGAGGAGGAGGAGGAGGAGGAGGAGGAGGAGGAGGAGGGAGGAGGAGGGAGGAGGAGGAGGAGGAGGGAGGAGGAGGAGGAGGAGGAGGAGGAGGAGGAGGAGGAGGAGGAGGAGGTGGAGGAGGAGGAGGCAAACCGCCTCTTGGTGCCGTCGTGGGACGTTCTTGGAGCGCTCTTGAGCGCTCTTGGGGTCCTTTGGGGGCCCTCTTGGGGCTCTCTTGGAGTCCAGGAGGGCCTCGTGGGGCAACCTTGGAGGCCATCGATCAAAGCAGGGGGGTCCCCGATGTTAATCCCCCCCTCCTCCTGGGGGCTCTTGGCGCCGTTTTGGGGGCCTCGTGGGCCCCTCTCGGGACTCTCTTGGGCCATCTTGGGGCCACCTTAAAGGCCTCAAACGCGCACCAGAAGCGAAAAGGCGAGAAGGCACAGTTCACTGATGTTCCGTAGGTCTTTGACGGATTTTGGCATCCAGGGCGGGTCCTGATGTGGCTCCGAGATCACTTGGAACCGTCTTGTGGCCTTCGTCGGGCCTCTTGGAGGCAAGTCGGAAGCTATCTTGAACCATCACCGGCTACCTTGAGGCATCGTGGAGGCCTTACTCGAGCATCGGGGGCCCTCTTGGAGCCATCGTGGGCGAACAAGGACCCTCTGACAAACCGCGGCCCGCCCCCAAAAAACATCACGGAGGGGAGGGGGAGGGCACCTATCCCCGAAGGGAGAATGGTTTTGGAAGAGGAATAAAAGAACTCCTTGGACCACCTGAGCCTGAAGGGCTGGTGGGATTACATTCTCCGCGAGTGCGTTGCTAAAGTGGGATGTTGGGGTGCTGATTGCTGTTTTGCTTGTCGTTGTTGTCCTGCCGTCGTGGCCACATGCCCCTCGAATTGCCCCGCGGTGAGCTGGCTGCCCACCAGCGGCCTGCCGACGACTCCCTCGCGAATTGTGGCCGCCGCGACCCGCCTGCGAACCACCGCTCACCCACCAGACGACCCGCATGCGAACCGCTTGCGACCCGCCCGCGACACACCCACTCTCTCGTAACCGCATATGCGGGGGGCTTTGCATAGTTTGATACTGCGATTGGCCCCTGCAGGTGCTGGCTGAATGAAACGAACGAGAGCATGGCTGGATAATGATGATGATGATGATGATGATGATGATGATGATGATGATGATGATGATGGTGTTGGGGGTGTTTGTGATGATGATGATGATGATGATGATGCTGATGCTGATGCTGATGCTGATGCTGCTGCTGCTGATGATCATGATAATAATGATGATGATGATGATGATGTTGATGTTGATGTTGATGTTGATGTTGATGTTGATGCTGTTGACGATGTTGTTGTCAGTAATGATGATGCTGATGTTGATGCTGATGGTGGTGGTGGTGATTGTGGTGGTGGTGGTGACGATGATCTGAGAAGGAAGATGAAGAGCACGAGGAGGATGATACGCGAGTTTGACGTGACGGCATGGTCAGCAGCATTGGGCAAGATGTTTTGCGTGATGTTGTTGGTCATACTGATTATGGACATGATGATTACTAGGGTGGTGAACAGGATGGGGGGGGATCGATAACGGGAATAAGGATGAGGGTGCGGATGGGTACAATTATGGCACGCAGATGTGCATGATAGTTTTGTCCAGACACTTCCAGCGACCCCTACTTCCAGTTGGTTATGATCATGTGGATGATGGTAAGTATGATGAGGATGCTGCTGATGACGATGATGTTGTTGCTGATGATGATGATGCTTTGGTGGTGGTGATGATAGTGGTGGTGATGATGTTGCTGATGATGATGCTGATGATGATGATGATGTTGATAATGATGGTAATGGTGGTGGTGATGATGGTGGTGATGGTTGTGGTGGTGATGATGATTGTGGTGGTGATGATGATGTTGAGGAGGAGGAGGAGGAGGCGGAAGGTGACGAGGAGTACGGAGGAAAAGAAGGAGAGCGAGGACAGAGAGTGGAAAGGGAATGGTCATATGTTCCGTTATTCTTGTGCCCCTTTTGTGGATTTCTCGGGACGTCTGGGGCCTCTCAGGGAACTCTCTTCTTGGGCGTCTCTCGGGGCCCCCACGGGCCTTCTTTTGAGGATTCTGGTGCTCCCTGGGAAGCCTCCTGGTTGTTCTGGTGCCAGCTTGGCTGTCTTGGAGGCCGTCTTTGCCGTTTGCACCCTTTGGGGGCCGGCGGGGGCCATCTTTCAGGAAGAAAAGAAACACACAGACACAATTAATCCTCGATTCCCTAGAAAATATGGGAAAATATGGGAAATGGGGGGGAAGACAAAAACCCAGAAAATATAGGAAAATATGGGGGATCTTTTTATTTGTGTGTATTTATTTGTGTGTCCCAGGGCCCCTTCAATCTTTGCGGATTTTTTGGCTGCCCCGAGCCTCACAGAGAGGCCTTCTTGGGCAGTCGTGGGCAGATCCGGAGACCTGCCCATGAGCTCGCCGGGAGGCCCTCGCGCGCCCCCCTCTCCTCTCCTCCTCCTCCTCCTCCTCCTCCTCCTCCTCCTCCTCCTCCTCCTCCTCCTCCTCCTCCTCCTCCTCCTCCTCCTCTTTCTCCCTCAGCGCTCTTTCCAAATCGCGAAGATGTACTCCCCTGGTGAGTGATTGGATGAAGAGCGCTGGCAAAACGGATCACGTCTGTGCTGCTCCGCGTGCGAGAAGCACCCAGCGCCCGAGCCGGCAAGCGCGCACCCCGACGGTGCGCTATCTTGCGCAGAAGGCTGATTCAAGAGGCGTATGCCATTCCGCTGACCCCTAAAGGAAAGTATAGGCAGGGCGATAACATCTTGGAGGCATGTTGGAGTCCCTTAGGACGCCTCTCAGCAGCCTCTTGGAGCGTTTCTCGAGGTATCTGGGGGCCTTGATGGCGCCGCCTGGGGGCCTTTTGATTGCAGCCTGGCCCTACGCCCTGACTCTCATGAGGAGCAACCTCAGGCATGCAGCCGCGCCTTCTGACCCTCAACGCCGCTGCCGACGGCACAGGATGCCCCTGGTGAGGAGGCTCCCCCAGGCAGGCCGCCCGCCTGCGGGCTGGCCCCCGGGGCGGCGGGGTCCCCGCGCGCTCCCCGGCGGGCAGCAGGGGGCCCGCGCCCCGCAGGAGACCCTCGGGGTGGACTCCGGGGAGGACGGCTTCATGAAGGGGTGCATGGACGCGCTCGGCGTCGGCTACGTGGTGGACGGCGGCGGGTTCAAGCCGGACGACGACGTCGCAGTCTGCAAGCAGGCCGGAAGCCTTCGGGCAGGGCCCAGGCGGCTCGGAGAGCACCTCGACTGCCAACGGCGGCCCCACGGCGGCTGCAAGAGACCCCGCAGACGGGGAAGAGGGCCCCAGGAGAGCGGGGAGTGTGTTGGCCTGGGGGGCGAGCCCACGGGGGGGTGTGGGGGGGCGGCCGGGGCGGCAGCCGCCGCAGCGTTGTTGGCCCCTTGGTCCTGCGGCCCACTGGAGGGGTATCCTCCTTCCTGGCCTTGCAGATGCCATGGACCGTTCCTCCAGCGGCTGGATCAGGCCGAGAGCTCTTGGGCTGCGCTGTTGAGGCCTCGATCATAGCTTTCTGTGGCCTGAGTTGTGGCCGAACAGTGACTTTGGACGCTCGGAGTAACAGCAGACGGACGTTTCCATCACCGTTTAGGACGCGTGGTGGCAATTCATTGCCATCGCAGCCGCACGTCGGGGCCATGTTCGGTGGTCTCGCGTGCCCCCTGGCCGGCTGCCTTCTCAGTGCCCTCCCAGCGAGTTGTGACATGATTGTATATCATTTTTCCGAGCGCAGATCGAGTAGGGTGGATGCGATGGTGACAATTCATAGGGAGTCGCGTCACCTCCGCCCAACCCTCCCAGAGTTGAAGTTGTGTCCCCGCCTGTACCCAGATGGACCCCAGATAGAAACGTGATAGCAGATTTCCAAGTTCGAGGGAACATTCGTTCAACCATGTGTGTCAGTTTGTGCAACAGACCGAAATTGCCTATCTACAGCCATGGAGTGCCTGGCAAAGGTCCCCCCACCTTGAAAGGAATGCTGCAATTTCTGGTGTCCCATGGTCCCATTGCTCTTGGTGCTCGCGTGGAGGTGAAGAATGGAGAGTTAAGTCTTTGAGGAGGAGGGCAGAGGAAAGAGTACATGATACGTCAGATAGGGTGGGCGGTAGAAATTGGATAGTAGAGGTCAGAAGTCATAGTGTAGAAGAACTAATACAGAGCACGGACAACCACGTTTGCCATTCTTTTCTCTCGCCAACCATCCGCACGTTGCTTTGCAAATTTAAAACGTATGATTGACCAATGGATTTGGTTTTCTCGAGTGTAGTAGTTTCTAGCGTCCGTTAAGTATTGTAGTGGCCTCCGGCCAGTGCCGCCGATCCGGGGCGCTCCGACTGATGCGATCCTCCTTCGCCCTCGTCCCTCCTCTCTTTTTCCCCCCTTCTCACTCTGCATTTATCTAGTGTCCTTCGGCCTATCCCGCCACCGTGCCTGGGTGGTAGGTCAGAGGCCTCATGGATGTTGGTTGGGATCTCGTGGTTGGCCTCTTCGGGGCCTCTGGGAGGCAGTTTTGAGGGCCCCCCGGGCCTCTTGGGCAGTTGCGGGGCTTCTTGGGGCCACTTTGGGGCCTCTTGGGGGCCTCGTTGGGGCCTCTTGGAGCTTCTTGGGGGCCTCTTGGGAGCTTCTTGGGGCCTCTTGGGAGCTTCTTGGGGCGGGAGGGGGGGGCACTCAAGTTCGGGACCCCCTCGGAGGCCACGATCCTCGTGAGGGGCGTCAACCAATGCCCTCCCCAGAGACACGCGGGTAGCCGCGACAAGCCCTACCCTGGACCTTTCCCCGGCAGAGCCCCCCCGGCCCCCCTCCAGCAGAGCTGAAGCTCAGGTTGTAGGCTGTAGGCTGTAGCTGAGGCTTTTTCAAACTCACACGCAGGATCGGCGAATTCACACATACATCCTTCTTGAGGCATCTTTGCATGAATTTCCCCATCCCGTGAGAGATAGAGAGAGAGAGAGGGAGGCGCCTGAATCCTTCTCCTTTTTGCAGACTCCGAGGTCTTCGCCCATGTGCCATTGGGTGGCCCTGCCTTCGTTGCCGTGGTGCACCGCCCGTGGCTGCTGTTGCATAGGGTCCCCGCCCTTGGGTCCCCGCTTCAGTTGCCCCTGCGCGCCGCCTGCTTGTGTGGCCGCGTCAGGCCCGTGCCCATGGGGTTTGGTGACTTCTTTTCCACCGCGACCACCATAAGCAGGAGGGGGAAGGGGGTCCTCCTGCCCCGCTTCGATATCCTTCCCCTCTCCAACTTGTGGTGGTGGTGGTTGTGAAAAACAGGCCCATCAGGGTCCCAGCTTCGGCTGCCCTGGAGTGCAGCCTTCAGCCGCTGCTGCACATAAGTCACGCATCATGTCCAGGAGCGCAGTTCTTTCTTGTTTAGGGCATGACGGGCGTCATGGCCCCCGCCCCCGCCCCACCCCTATGACGTAACGTTCCCCCCACCAGTGCGTTTTGGGCATTGCCGCCGTGTGCATCGTGATCCGCATAGGTGTCCGCATAGGGATCCGCGTAGGAGTCTGGTCCGCAGTCGTTGTCGTCGTCGTCGCCGCCGTCGTCGTCGTCGTCGTCGTCGTCGTCGTCGTCGTTGTCGTGGTCGTCGTCGTCGCTCGTCGCTCGTCGCTCGTCGCTCATCGTCGTCGTGCTCGCGGACGCAGCTGGAGTCTGTTTTTTGTTTTTAATCCTGTGCCGATGGCAGCAATCATCGGGGGGGGAAGGGGCCAATGACGTCACGTTTCGCGCCTGCGGCGCCTGGGAATGCTTAGGAATGACCGAGGACGGGTAGCAGCAGCATGTCGGTGGCGATCTGCACCACAACGCCCGTGTACACCACAGTGCCTGCGTGCACCACAGCGCCTGGGTACACCACACCGCCTATGTACACCACAGCAGCGGCGTGCAACCCAGCGCCATTGTGTGCCACAGTGCCTGCTGGCACCACAGCGCTTGTGTACACCACAGCGCCTGCGTACATCACATCAGCCGTGTGCAACACAGCACCAGTGTACACCACAATGCCTGCGTGCACTGCAGCGCCTGTGTACACCACGGCGCATGTGTGCACCACAGCAACCGTGTGCAACAAAGTACCATTCTAGAATTTTATAACAAAACCTTATGACGAACTTGAGAGCCTGTGGGTTCAGCAGATTGTATATTCATATATGCATACATACATACATATGTGATTTGGAAAGGGAATCTTGATGGAATAAAGAAGCGCCGCTGGAATCTAAGAGCCTTCCGGAGTCCGCCCGCATCATCCTAACTCCTCCCATATGCGTCCACGAGGTTCCAGCTAGATTGGCCGTCCGAGAAGATTGGCCGTCCGAGAACCAAGTGGACCGATTCAATTGACCATTCTGCGGTGCACGCTGAGATGCGCACGTGCGCTGAAGCGCCGGCCCGCACGACAGGGTGGACGGGGAGAGGGAGGAGGAAAAAGGACGAGGAGGAGGATAAGGATAAGGATGAGCGCATCGGGGGCGTGTTCCGAGCAGCAAGCCTCGATAGGGTTCGATCGCCGAAATATATGCCCTTTTGCGAAGGATATGGTTGCCTTGGCCTGCCTGGGGTGCCTTGGCCAGACAGCTCGCGGCCTTGTCCTGCCTGGGGTGCCTCGCAGGCCGCCCGCCCCCCTCCCTCCCCTCCCCCCACCACCACGGGCGCGCGATGGACCCCGGTGCACGGAGCACTGTCGCTCTCTGCCAGGGACCAGGGGGTGCCAGGGCTGGCGGAGGGGCCTTCGCAAGGAGGGGTGAAACCTGCGCCTTCCAGTTTTTTTCCCCGAAGAGGCTCCTATCTCCCCGCGGGGGGATCCGCAGCCCCGAGGACGGGGCGGGGGCGGGCGGGGAACCGAACAGAGAGGGATGGGAGAAGCCAAGGAGCCAACCGAGCAGCGGAGGCCCCCGATTAGGGGGAGGAGGGGAGGGGAAACCCAGGGGACCCGCGGAATGCGACAGCCACAAGACAAGGGGAAGGTGACTGACGCATTTTCCTTCCGACGCGCCAGAAACGCGCCGAGACACAATCCCGAAGACAAGAAGCAATCATTTTGCACTCGACGACAATTTCTAAATTGCAGTAGGCGTTTGGGAACTAGGAAGGCACGCCTTTGCCAACAAAGATTTGCACAAGTTGGTAGTTCTCTCTCATCGGGTTGGCAGTCGCTGAGAACCGCGTGTTCTCTAAGGAAGCCATATCATCCCAATCGCTGGTCACTCGCAACAGCTCGCTTTCGCAGCACTCCATCTGAAAATGTTTCATCATTTCCCGCGCCAGAAGTTGCCGCTCTCCTTCAATCAAGCCGAAGATTGAAGCGAATGAGCGATCAAATTGTGTGTTTGGCTTGTTTTGCCACATATAAAAAATGTTCCAATGTGAGTTTATGCGCAAGCGTTAGGTCTGTCCTCTTCGAAAGCTCACGAAACCGTGTGATGATATTATCCAACTCATCTGGATTGTGTGCGATGGTGCATTCCACGTCTGATTGCAAGCTCTTAAGTAGCAAAGAAATTGCGTTTGTAGCTTTTTTCCAGATTTGGTTGATCCCCGACATCGCTTGACTCGCCAATGTTTTCTTTCCTATAGTGGTTTGAAATATTCAAGGCTTCCTGTGCGAATCTGTTGAACTAAATCTGCAAAATACTGCGTGGCCAGGTCAGGTTCCTTCGATTTTCTTATGTCCTTCCTGCAGTGCTCACGAGAAGGCGTCTCTCTCTCAGGGCCAGACGCGGCCATCTCATTGAAATCGTATTCATTGTTATGTTTCGTTTCATGGGGTACCATCGCAATCGGCGGACCGACTCTCAAAGACGCTGCGTGTGTGAATCCACGTTCCCACTGAAGGCAGACACTGAAAGGGAAGAGTACGATGTAATTATGAAAACCTTTCCAGAGCGGCCATTGCACCAAAACGTCTTTCATATGCAAACTCCATCGGATCGGCGGTGCTCAGGGAAGGGTTGCTGTTGTCGGTCGCCGCGGCCGCCTCAGGGGGGATCCCCCCTTCCAATAACGCCTCGCCAACCGAACCGTCTTTGTATGGTGTTCTGCAGCAAATGCCATGCCCCCCAATCCAGGAGGACGAGAGAGATTGACCTCAGCCAGAATATCTAGGTTAGCACGTTGACTAATTCGGGCATGTGTGGCACGAGTGCGTAGCCTACGCCGCGCGCTTGCAGAGGTCGCAAACGAGGGCGGCACACTGCAGAGAGCCATATGTATCAGGAAGGTGCGAAAGAAGTCTGGTACGGTGTCGGAAGGGCCTAAGGGGTGTCGTTGCCTCAGACTCTTCTATCTCCTTCTCCTCCTTCTCCTCCTCCTCCTCCTCCGCCCTTGGCCAGGGCAGGTGGCTGACTGCCGGGGAGTCCGCAAATGTGTTTGCCAGCTGAGGGCAGGCCGCGGCCCCTCGATCGCTGTAAACGGCGGCTACCAGAAGGAGGAGGAGGACGACGAGGAGGAGGAGGCGGAGGTGGAGGAGGGAGGAAGGAAAAACGTCTCATTCTATTGTCAGCACTTCCCTGGCGTGGCGTTCAGCTGTCCGGAGCAGATCCTCACCGACATGCTCCTTCTACCTGTCCTGTGCATGCAGGCACTCTGGTGTACACCAGCGCTGCGTTGCACGCGGATGCTGGGGTGCGTTGTGGTGTGTACAGGCGTTGCGGTGCGCGTAAGCATTGTGGTGTAGACAGGCGCTGTGATGCACATGGCTGCTGCGGTGTACACATTTGCTGTGGTGTACACCGGCGCTGTGGTGCACGCAAGCACTGTGGTGTACACAGGCGCTGCGTTGCACACATGCGGTGTACGCAGGCGCTGTGGTGTACATAGGCGCTGTGGTGCACGCGAGCACTGTGGTGTACACAGGCGCTGTGGTGCAGATGGCCACCTACGTGCTACTCGCGTCGTCGTCGTCGTCGTTGCTCGGCGCTCGTCGCTCGTCGCCTATCGTCGTCGTGCGCGTGGGCGCGGCTGTGGTGCCAGAGCCACACGGCGGGGGGGGGGCGTTACGTCATACCCCCCCCTCGCCGCCCCCCCTCCCCCACATGGCGCCCGTCATCGCCGATGATAAAGAAACGCGCTCCAGTGTCGCCTTTTGAATGTCAACGCGCCAGTATCAATGGCCTTGCAGCTTCATCAGAGACAAAGGCACATGTCATCAGCCCGCCCCCGCGGCCAGGGCAAGTGGGCAGCCTACCACCCGATGAAGGACCAGAAAAACTACCAGTGCTGCATCGACATTATCAATGGCATCGACCGGGAGACAGAGTGGGGCCACTGCCCAGAAATGCCGGACGATTGGGCCAACAGGACTTGGCCTGGTGCTGGGCCAGAGGGGCATGAGCCGAGGTGGCGGAAGCAAGCACAGTGAGAATTTGGAGTCTGAGACCCACGGAGGCCGAAGCGACGTCCTTTCTTGATTTGTTTTGCCTTGGCCTTGTGAGTTTGTAGATAGTTTAATAATTCGTTCCCATGGGAATGCGCGGCCGAATTGGTCCCGTGCTCCGTTCCAGGTCCAGCCAGGCAGCGGACGCGCGTGGTGCATGCGGATTGTAATTTGCCCCCGTGAGGGGTGCATGCGGATTGTAATTTGCCCCCGTGACACAAAAGGTTTGTGCCGAATCTACAGTTTGTAGGCGGGCGGCTTGGTCAAAGTTCCAAGCTTCGCAGTGAAACTAGAATGATCCGAGGATGCAACGTCTTCAGTCCCGTGCTCCAGTTTCGCAACCGTCGCAGGGATCGCAGTGTGTAGCATTTTTTGTTGACGGTGCTTGGACGTCACACTTGCGCAAGCTTCTTTCATCAAACGAATCCATTGTGCTCAGATCGACTGAACTCTTATAACGTCGAGTCACCGCTGCCCCCTCTGATGGGCCCAATGTCCACCACCACTACCATATGTAGCAGAGGGAGGAGGAGGAGGAGGAGGAGGAGCAGGAGGAGGAGGAGGAGGAGGAGGAGAACCTCTCCTCATCCTCCCTTCTCCACCGACCTACATATGGTAGTGGAGGTGGAAAACTTGCCCATCACCCTTGCCTTCTAGAAACGCTGTGTGCTGAGATGTCGAGCGTCGGTGCTGCCACGCTAGTGGACTGCCGGCTCTCCCGGCGCTGAGGGAAACCACTCAGGAACATTGATCGGGGGAGCGTAAGACCTGGGTTTGCCAGGACTCAGGGTTCGCCATCGTTTTTTGACGACCGAGACTCGGATTTTGACGAGGAGGAGTTTTGTGGGATGTCTGCAGCGGGAGGCCTCGTCAAAATGCAGGCTCGGCCTCGTCATTTTTTTGACCACCTCGTCGGGGATTTCCGAGTCCCCCGTACCCGGGTCTTACGTCTCCCCGAACCATCTGGGGCCGTTCTGGGGCTGTCTTAGTGCTCTTTCGGGCCGCTCGGGCCTTCTTGGAGGCCCGCTTGGGCCCTCTTGGTGCTCTGTGGGGTCGTCTTAGGGCGCCCTTGGGCCGCCTGGAAGGCCGTCTCACGGGCCCCTCTGGGCTGTATCGGGGCCCTCTTGAAGCAATCCAGGGCCGTCTTGGGGCCAGGGCACTTTTGGGGCCGTCTCGGTATCTTGGGGCCTAATTTGGCCAATTTGGCTTGGCATTGGGAGCCTCTTGGGCCGTCTTCGATCCCTCTTGGCCAGTTGTAGATGCGGGGCCGTCTTCGGGGCCGTCTTGGAGGCCATCCAGAACCATCGCAGCGATCTCGGAAGCGAGCTGCTGGTCGTCCGTGGGGCCAGCAGGACGGGGCAAAGGCTACCGGCCCCCTTTTTGGAAGGGCCAAGAAAGAGTTATAATCCGGCGTACCAAGCCCTGCGGCTGGAGGGGACGGCGGATCGAATAAGCTTGATGCGAGTCTCTGCCACCCCCTCCCTCTTGGAGGCGCCTGCGCCTGGAAGGTGTCGAGCGAAGGTCTGGCCGCGCTAGTGGACCAGCCACTGTCTGGGAACCGCCCCGGGAACACTGGAGACCAGTGCCCTTTGGGGCCGTCTTGGCGCTTTGTTTTGGGTTGTGGGCATTCTCCGGGGGCCTCTTGGGGCTATCTCGTGCCATCTTGGGCATTTCGTCGGCCATCTTCGGGCGCTCTTGGGCCGTCTGGCGTCTGTCGGGGGCCTCTTTGGGCTGTCTTCTGGACCTCCTGGTGCCCTTCAGGGCCGCCTTGCTTGGGTCCTGCTGGACCATGTTGACCCAGGATTGGGGGCTTCTTCCGCCATCGTGGACGCACTTAAGACGAACAGGGCGAGAGCCCGAAAGTCCTTCAAACACCGATGGCAAAGCAATGGCATTTGTATATTGTGCCGACCCTGGGGTCATCTTGGACCGTCGTGGAGGCCACCGTGGGCCGTCCTCGAGCCCTCTTGGCCTGTCTTGGAGTCATCTTGCAGGCTATCAGGGACCGTCTTGGGCCGTCTTCGGGGCCATCCAGGGCCACCGCAGCGATCTTGGAGACGAGTTGCTCGTGGATTTCCAGCAGTTCCCGCGGGACCGGCAGCTCGGGCCGAATGCCATCGGGAACATCTTGGATCGGCCGAAGGGTGCTGTGTCAAAGCCGGCACGCCGAGCCCGGCTGCGGAAGGCAACGGAGGCGCCGGATCGAAGACGCTTGCGGCGCATCGCTGCCGCCGCCTGTCTGTTGGAAATGGCCCATGCGGGCAAACGTTGGGCCAGAGTCTGGCCAAGTTATGGTCAGAGGGGGAAGGGTACCGAAACCGCTACCATTCCCTCGTTTTCCCTTGTTTGGGCCTCTTGGAAGGCCCTCGTCGCCACCGCTGGGTTCGCCTCGAAATTCTGGTCAGAACGCACCCCAGGAGAGGATCGGGGAGTAGCGGTGTCAGTACTTTTTGATTGCCCCAAGCTGTTGGACTATGTGTTCTCCCAGCCGTTGTTGCACCCCTTGGTAGGAACGCTTGGGATAGGAAGAGAAAGAAGGAGGTGGAAACTGAAGGAGGATCGGATCGCATCGAATGAAGGCTCATCGATCGTCAGCCTGCACACCAGCACGCGCATGAAACGCGCAAGAGTACACGTGCAACAAAAAGCCTGTGGGCGAGAGCCCCTGATCCGGGCAGGTGATAAGAAACAGGTGTGACATCTCACCCAGGCCATAGCTCAGAGGAGGAAAAGGTACCTATACCTCTACCCTCCGCCCCTTTTCCCTTTCTTTGGTCTCCTGGGAGGTCCTCGTCGCCACCGCTGGATTCGCTTCAAAATCCTGGTCAGAACGCACCCCGGGAGAGGTCCGGGGAGTAGCAGTATCGGTACCTTTGGGTTTCCCCAATCGCGGTCATTGCCGCGATTGAAAGCTCCATTGAGCCACCCAGAGCGAGGAGGCATGGGAGGCGCGAAGGCCCCAGAAGGAACAGGAAGGGAGAGGAGACAAGCACAGCAGTTGCAACTTGTCGAAGAGGCCTGAGACTAACGAACAAGTACTTGGTAGGCGATCAGCTCGGATGCTGCCACTGCATGAGTAGCTCAGCAGAACATCGTGCAATGCAGAAGTGGACCGTCGACGCAGAGCCACGCCAAGTGGAAACGTACACATGAGCGGGGCAGCGACGAACCGAATGAAGGTTGCGAGCATGAAGAACAAACTAAGCCACGAGCATGGGCGACACGTGGCCAGAAGCTCAAGGGGGCAAGTGGGGGAGACCCTGAGGGGAGAGCAGGTGCACTGACTGCCCCAAAGTGGAAGGCTGGTTTGGGCATGCTGCGGTTTCATAAGCACCAAGTGCGGAAACAGGCAGTTTGAGCATGCAGCAACTAAGGTCCAAGTGCGCTGACGAATGAGCACGAAAACGCACTGCCTGATTGAAAGTAAGGCCCTGCCGGCGCAGACCAAGGACAACTGTGCATCACAGAAAGCGCGAGACGCAGAGCGAATGCTGAAATATGGGATGCCGATTTGGGAGGCGACCCGCGAGCAGAGAACCCAGACAGACCTTCGCAGCAAGCCGAGTCCGATCTAAACGCCGCTGAAGGGGACGGCTGAAACGAATGAATAGGCACTGCGCAGTGCAGAACAAGAGTCAGCTGGCAGTACTAGCAGGCGCTGGGGAGGTGTCGGGAAACGCCTGCTATCTACGATCGAACCAAGCAACCAGAACATCCCTCTCACGCGGGGGTGCGAACTCCATGCAGCGAGAACGGCATCGTGACCCCTTGCCTGCTCTGCTCACCTTGGCACTGCGCCAGCGTCCACAGTGAGAGGTGTGCTTGCAGCGGGGGTACGCAGGCGGCCGGTTGGGAACGCACGTCAGGCGATCGCGCCAATCACGATAGACTCGCGAAACAGGCCAAGTTCTGTCGTTTCCTGATGTGCCCTGGCACTGGCGTAGTGGCCATCCGACAGCCAGTGCTCGCGAGGAGGGGACAACTCCTGTTCCGCTGCTTTGGGGCGGCGGCGCCTGCTGGCCTCGCTCTGCAAGCGCGGGAGTCTGGAGCGCGATCGGGGGCGCCCCGCAGGAACAGGCGCGGGAGAGGGCTGGGGCCGAAAGGACTGGCGAAGCCGCTCGTCAGCGGAGCTCTTAGCCCTCTGAAAGGAAGCAGTCGCCTGCGTGATGCCAGAGCCGATAGCGTGAGCAGCGGGAGCACGACGCCAGGCATCTCTCTCAGTGGGAGAGCGAGGGTGCAACGGCGGGTACGACAAGGGGGAGACCCCGCTGGGACGGGCGAGGGATCGTCTCATTCCACAACGCGCCGGCTCTCGGGGGCTTCACTGGCGGCTCGAAACGGGCTGGGCGCTGCCATCGATTGAGACGGCGGTGCACAGCGCGTTCGTCCGCGACACCCAGAGATGGAGCATTGATGGTTTTGATTGCGCAGACCGCGAAGTCCCTTGGCGGAGGCGGCACTGGTAGAGACGAGTGCCACGTAGCGGCTGGGCCTGGCCCCAGGTTTTGAGCCCCCCTCATCGAGCGGAACTTTGGGGGAGGCACATGGATGCCAGGACTCTGGGTACCCGGTGCAAGCGATACTGGAACGGTTGCATGAGGATCCGCGGCCCGACGCTTGGGCGGGGCAGGCGGCGGTGGAAAGCGACCGGTTTGCCGCGCGGGGGGGGTGGCGGCGGCGCTGCGGTTTGCCGTGGCGGCGCCGGCGGAGGCGGACCGTGGGTCCTCTGCGCCTGCATGGCGCGGTCGCTGCACAGCGAGCGACGCGTTGCGCCCGTGGCAGAAGGATAGCTGGCGCGCAAACGGGGGTGGCAACTCAGCGGCTCGGCTCGGGCTTCGGAGGAGGAGGGGGAGGGGGAGGAGGAGGAGGAGGAGGGTGGGGCGGAGGAGCAGGAGGACAGGGGGGAGGAGGAAGGCGAGGAGGAGGAGGAGGGAACAGGTCCCGTTTTAGGCGGGCAGGTCTCGTCCGAGCTATCCAGCGCGGCGTGGCTGCCCTCGGTCTGGCGGGGCGTCTCCGACGTCGACGGAGGTGCCCTTGGTCCAAGGGTGGTGCACGACTACCGTGCGGCACACCCCAGGCTTGCTCCCCCCCCCCTCCCCCCGTCCCCTCCCCCAGCCCCACCCGCGGGAGCACGGTATAGTCGTGAGGTGCTGCGGGATCTCCCCCTCTCCTGTGCATGCGCCTTCTCCCCCCCAGCGAAGAGCCCGACTTGTTCGTGACGACCGACTGTCGGCGATGTGCAGTCGCGGCAGCATCAGCGGCGTGCTCGCTGTCGCGCCCGAAACCAGAGCCGCTCGCAGGGCCGGGGGGGGGAGCGGCCGGCGCGCACGCCTGGGTGCGCTTGGCCTTTGAGGAGCACGTGGGAGATCGTGTTGGTTTGTAGCCAGCGCGGAGGGACTCCAGCCGGTCCGAGGATGCGGATGCATTGTTTTTCTCCGGGTCGAGGTCTTCGAAGCAGAAAGCCCGCGATTTGGCAGGCGAAAGGGTTCTCGATGCGTACCGGAGGGGTCCAGACGACAGCACGTCTTCGGCGGAGGTAGGATCGCAATGGGCCTCCCCACCCTCCCCCATTATCCGTCCATTCTCGTGTGCATGTTCATTTACATCCTTCTCCCACGCGCGGAAGATCGGCTTTGCATTCTTGCCGCTTGTCGACCGATC